GATCCCGCAAAATGGTGGAACTTTGGTGATCAGAACAGATGCATATGACCGCTGATATTTGCTACACTGTCGCAAACTTTGGTTCTTACAGTCTGAATGCATTCCTTAGACCGAAGTGATATTAAAGTAGGTCAGCGTGACTTGCGACGCCACTGCAACGATTGGTGCAAAGTGACATACTGATCTATACAGCTCCATGCAGGTGAAAAGATCGTTCACCTATCATCTGGTAGTGCCAATCCGCAGGATGATGGAGACTGACTGGAATGGAAACTGGCAAGTTTGTTATTGCTGGTGTCAAGCCGATACTGATTTGCTTAGAGCAAACATTACGATTGCCATCTGGATGAGGTGGCGTTCTTCTCTCATTCATACCCGAACCGGTTAGTGAAATCCTAGCAACGGCGGCTTATGCCGGGGTTTCGAACTCCCGATGCTGACGACGTTTCGTGGAGAAGTGGTTAGAGATCAATCTGTATCAAATGACTGCGAAGCGGATGACATGCAGAGGACGGGCGATCACAACCGAGGATACGCAAGGCAATGTGGGGCTGCAGTTTAGTGTATTTCGATAGCACACCTTGAGGCCAGAGATTCGAGTCGGTAGGAAAGTTGCATAACCTATCACCAAGAACCCTTAGGCTCTGCACGAATTCAGTCGAGACTACAAATGGTAAGCTGTGGTGGACCGTGGATGAAACGCAGAAGACTAGTGAATTTCCTTGGCCTACAACGAAGGGAACAGTGGGGCTGAGTTTAAGTGACTTCCAAGCGCTGACTAGCCTGGTAAGAGCATCATCAACGGAGCAGTGGTGATCGACAACCAGCAAGTGTTAGATAGATGGAACAATTACAAAAATCCTAGAGTCATGAGGCGGAATCGAAGAATATGGAGAGCATACGACCTAAATACTCGAATTCAGATCGGCAGGGCGATAAATAAACGACAATCGAAGCATCAATGTAAAAAGGTTTCTCGATTAAGATGACAGTAGGTTTATCGAGAAATGTACCGTATTTGTCCGGTTGCTCATGTATTACTACGGCAGTTAGGTTGAAGTGGGTTGTCGCGGAGAAGCTGTTCACCCAATCAGAGGGTTTCGAACATTCTCACATGGCTTCAGTCGATCGTGAGAGCACTTAGATGTAAAAAGAGGATGAAGGGTGTTCAAGTCATTCCATCTTGATTATCATAGATTGCGACACTGGTAAAAAAGGCTTCCACCAGGGTATCACGAAGTAGTGTCGAGTCAAGATTGCTCAATATCCCAAGATATGTGTGGCATGGTGATACCCGGGTGTACGACGCGACATCACCAGAATTTGGATCTATCACCGAGTAAGCAGTGCTCCGTGGTGTCAGGCACAAAGGCAGAATTTGATCGTTCAAACCATAAAAATCACAACCCATCCTCTCGACTTTGCGGAAAGAGGAGGTATGAAAAGCATTACTGAAACAAGTCACACAGATAACGAGATATTGTTGAGCGAAACCTGTAGTTTCTTGTTTGAGTGCCGGCCATGGTAGTTGTAATGCTTGGAGAAACAACTTATGGATGCGGAGGTTCGGGGTTACCAAACAGAATCCTACTGTTTCAGCGGTAGCAAGGAGCCGTATCCCCAACTAAACCATCATAGATTTGCTTGCTACGGCTGAAGCAGTAAGCATCCGTTTGGCAAGCCCCACCCTCTGAATCCAGAGACAGTTCGTTCAGAAGATTCACTCCAAACATAAGCCTGTTTTAGGATATACCCGTCACCAGGTGGCATTCCCCATGATATGCCTCATCCGTCAATAAAAGATTGACAACGCCCGTAGTGGAATCAAGAGTTCGTCAAGAAACCTCAACTGATTTTTTCAGTTTCCTGTCGTCCTATAATAGCTTCTCTGACAGTAAACACATAACCTGTTCAAGTGCGTAATAGGTGTATGCAGGCCCATCCAGTCATCTAAAAACGACAGCTGGAAAGTGCTGGAGGATGACGCTGCATATGGCGGGAAATGTTCATGACCGCTGGGATGACGGCGTACAACTGAAAGACTGTAACCGATTTCCGGATGAAATCATCTGGCGAGCCAGCTAGCATTTCTCTCGCATGCCCATATCGTGCAATAACCAGTTGTCCCACGCAAGCGATCTCACTTGCAACTGTGCACTTAAGGAGCCGGAATATCAGGGGGGTCAAACAGATGCCCGCAAGAAAACGTATGCAAGACGGGCGCATGTCCTTGCGTTGTGTGTCATCTCATCCGGTTGTGAGTGACCAGGCTCATTGCAGGGTCAATCACATGATGATTAGGAGTCAATTTGGCATGGGAAACGGCAAATGGCCAAAGTAGTTCACGTCACAATAACGGATCACGTCTGTAAACTGCAACGCTGCTGTTGGCTCTGGCGATTCCAGCCGCCACGGTAATTGACCTTTGATGTGTCGCCCGTAACCTAATTCCAACGACCTTGACAATTCGAAGGGGATTCATCACAGGTACACTGTCAGGCAAGGGCTGAATACCCGGAAAAGCACCGTACAATCGTTTCGTTTCTTAGCGAACTGTGAACATGGCGCACTCAACTTGCTCCATAGGTAGCTAAAACCCATGACCCGACTACCGAGAATCCATGGTGAGGAGATTTCCAAAATCGATCTGACGGCCACCAGTACCGCCGAACCTTCCAGTACACCGCAGTTTTCAGGCTCCTCCTCTGGTGGTCATGATGCGAGCTCCACATGTTCCGCTATTCTCATACGCAGTTCTCCAGGTTCGAACTAGGTGCACGCGTGCACGACCAAGGGCGATTGATTACACGTACGTCAGCAATCGTTCCACATGCAGTAAGTGGACCCAGTATGTGCACCAGTGTTGAACGGAGCGGTTGACTTCCATGGAAAAACCCGCTACTCCTTGTTTAGACCCTTTTGAAATGCTTTGTTAGTAAAAAAAATTCACATGGTCCAAAACCACTCTACGATAAATCGTGATGGTAAGTCTAAAACCTGCAACCAAGGTTGCACTTACACTTTTAATATCCCCCATCTAATAAGCTATTCACCATCTTGTCCAGGTGGCTTTCCGGTTCTTTTCCCTTGTTCACGGGGTCTCGGCCCTGTGAAAGACTGATGGGACGATTCCAACAAAGACGTGCTTGGGATGGCTTAACATGATTGATGGCATCTGGTTCCGGATTTGCCTATCACTGAAACCTCCATGGGGATAGCCACAGAACGCTTGCGTCCACTGAGGGAGCATAGTGGACTGCATTGCTTCATCCACACACCCCATATCCAGCGCAAACCCGAAGAAATAAGACTGAGAAGTGTCCGGGAGAAAGTAAGAATTGTCCGGAAAGTCCAGCATTTTAGCGAGTAATCGATTATTAACAGTTAGCGCATCGATTTCGAACACTCTGGAATGTTCTAAGTTCTACACGTGACTACCAACCACCTGACCTGAGGTGTCGGTCAAATCTATGAGGAACAACTAATCATCAATGCACTGCTTTTGCATCCTGTTGGGATAGAAGTTCTGTGGAGCAGTAAAGTGCCTATTTCGGAATCGCATCTAGTGAGAAGATTATAACAGGAAGCATGTGGATGGTAGCCACGTTTCATCAACTGATCCGGCCATACTCCTTCAGAATGCACAGCGGCAGTATTCCTAGTTATCTAATTTGAGGATCATGCGTACCAGACGTACACAAGGCAGTGGCTGGGCAGTAGCCCGTTTCACACAGGATGGAACCACTAGTTGAGCCAAGCACAGTCACGAGGACTCGGGTCCTCAGCCAAAACCCTCGAGAAAATGTACTGCGAAAGGCATCGCGCGCCAGGTGAGATGAGCCAGTGAACCGACTCACGCTGAATTTTATGTCCTGACTCTAAGCTAGAAGAAGGGTGTAACCCAACTCCCACCCAGCGGTCATCAAGAGGAGGCGCCGAAGGCATGAGTCCACGGGAAAACATTGGGGGCAGCGAATCAACGACCTGTCAGGATCTAACCACCATAAGCCTCAGCGCACCATGGACTCTCCGTTTAGTGGGGTATATTATCAATATCTGTTGAACTGTGGAAAATGTTTGAATCACTTTTAATTCCGCAGAATTAAGTACAATGAAAACATTACAACGTCAACTGCAAAATAAAGTTTCATCGGTGGAGTTCAAATGAATAGAAAATTCATCTGTCTTATCCTGTAAGCTAATTACAATAGGGACATTACCAAGGTCCTGCCTATCCTTCATCAAATGTTGTAAGCTTTATTATCGACTTTAGTGGAGCTGGAGAAGTGAGATGAGTGAGAGTTTGGCAAAAGATATGGTAATGTACATGTTGTAGAAGTAAGAGCCAACCCTGGGGAAGTCCTGACAAAGCGATAACCCATCCGGAAAAGCAAAACGTGGAGATTCATGCGCTAAGGTTCAAAAATGCCGGAATATTGGGAATAAGATTATAATAAGCTGTTTGGCCTGAACACAATTAGGCTCCGATGAGATTGCTATGCGGTGGCTGCTATGGTTAGAGAGGATAAAAAAACTAGACGAGGTTAACTGCATGATTTACAAAAGCGGATATCGAACGCTGACAGCATTTTATTCCACCGAGTGGCTGAGACTCGTGGGCAGCATGGATGCATCCAGTGTAACCAAAGCTCAGAACAAGCAAACAGCGAAATCTGAGGCAACAATAGCACAGCAGTGACACCTCGATGGGACGGGACGAGTGTAACATTAGGTAACAATGAGATTCTCACCTTTGTACACACCGCTCTCGAGCAAAAAACCAGCTCGTTCCAAAGCCAAGAACTCCGGAACACTCAGGAAGTGATAGTGCACTCCGTCCACTTCATCAGCCCTCGGTAGACGCGTAGTGCCTGTGCAAATAAAAGACAGAATATGAGACGGCGTGCAAAGTAAATGTTAAAGGGCTAATGAATGGACACAAAGGGGGGAGAATGTGGACTGGGAAAACGAGTAAGAAAGCAGCGGAAAACTTTACAGGTGATGTACGAACGTAGATACTGTTATACATACATTTGCAAACGTCTACGAATAGACATAATGTCATCAGAAACCATGGGATTCAAACGAAGGTACAGAAATAGTAAAGGAAAACACAACACAACAATGTCCATGGTTTCGTCAGACGGCGAGATACTACCCGGTTGCCCAAGCCGAAGTAGGGTGTTCACTTAGGGGACACCACCCCGAGCCTTTGGCTGAATAGTCTGTCCGCAAGGCAGCGGAGCGAATTCAGGGAATCGTGCCCATTGGGAGCCGGTGATTGATAGCTCAGTTCATACGCCTTTCCTCTGTTCCTTTGTCAAACAGGGGCCCAATGCTCCCAAGAACTACAGCATAACGTTGCTGGAATACAATGCTTCGCCAGGATGAAGTAAGGGGCAGTGACTTACTTTAGTGGCGAGTCACATCCGCCACGTCAGTGTTGTTAAACGGACACATGTGGCTTTTTATAGGGAGAACGCTTGCCAGGCGAAAACCCACCACGTCCTGGAACACTGCCGCCGAACCATTTGCTGGAACGGGAAAATCCCGAACCACCCAGCTGGCACCACGAGGAGGTTGTTCGGAAATGAAGATTTTACAGGCGCGGTGCATATGAGGATCGACAGGTTAATGCCAATGGTGTAGCATGGGGGATGGGCGGTCCGTCCAGGGCGGAATGTGACAGAGGGCGGCAATTTTAGTACCGTCGATTGTCCGATACCAAATAGAAAGGGTAAAATATCCGGATAAGCCGAGGGCTGATTAGTTTAGTGCTACACTGTATGACCAACACTACCTTTGCGCCATGAGTCACAGCTGTGCAAACGTCCTTTTCTCAACGATCCCCTTACTTGTCTCATCGTGGTCATTTAGCTTATTATCTCAAACGATCATCCTTTGCATTGAAAATTAATGTGCGCTTTACCCCCAGGCCAATCGAGTGGCCTTCAAACGGTTATTGCGCGCCTCAGTCAGGGAAAAAATTGCGTCACCGCCCCGGGCGGAAAAAGTAGTTGCAACACCACTGTCTAATGCTCAAATAGCAACCTATGAGATGAAAGATGTGTATCCCAATCATCATCATCATCATACACGTTGGCTAGAGGTGGGGAACACCTCAGCTACTGTGCCGCAATACACAGAAAAAAGAAAAAAATGCAACTGGTGCAAGCCGGCTGAGCTACCGGTAACGGATAGGCATCGTTCCGGTAAGCTACCAGCCGGCTGCTGCGCATCAAAAAAATACTATGTAAAGTTATATAAGGCTAAATAATGAGATCGCGGTTGGAGGAGGAGGAGGCTAAGAGGGATAGGGTGGGACAAAGAAACTCACAGCACGAACGCCATTGAGGTCGGCTCCTAGCCATATCAGCAAGTGTGTCCAACCAAACGTGTTCATCGTCTTTCGGACCCCAACCATGAAGCCGAGAAGCTCCAACCGGGGCCAGCTCAGAAGTGAGGGCCTTCATTCGTCTGGACCAAGTCATCGCTTGGACACCCCTCCTCTTCTTCCATCCACATCCCCGGTGAGCAAACAACGCACGTCGCGGGAGTCAGTAGGCTGGCATGCGTAACACGTGGCCGAGCCACCGGAGTCTGGTGCGTGAAATAACGGTGCTGAGCGGTTCATTTCCTTTTCCTGTGCCGTAAACAAGGTGTCGAACATGCTCGTTGCTCACGCGGTGTTCTCACCAGATGTGAGCTAAATTACGAAGACACCGGTGGTCGAATGCAACTAGCCTCTTCAGGTCCGCTGCTTTAAGCGGCCAGGTTTCACAACCGTACAGTAGGGTCGAACGTACTGCTGCATTGTACACTCTACCCTTCAGGGCAAGAGTGATGTCGCGCCGGCGCTATAAGTGGCGAAGGTTGGCAAAAGCACCCCGAGCTTTTGCTATACGGCTCGTGATCTCATTCTCAATCCCACGGACGCTGATACAACTTCCCAGGTAGTTGAATTTTTGAACGACTTCTAGCTGATCCCCACAAAGGGTCAGCGTAGGAGGCGGTCCAGACCAATCTTGGAGGAACGCTTTGCACTTCGAGTATCCCACTAGTTGACAGAGAAGAGGTACTAAACAGGGCCGCGTGGGACTGTAGACAGAAGTTTCGACAGATGCAAAAAGATCACAAGTGCCGTCTGCTCTAACTCGCAGGTGAACATATCCAGACCCCCATCAGATATCGAAGAGCTACACCGGCTAGCAAGGAAGTGCGTGGGACGTAGCTCCCACTTTCCCATCCCAGTCACAAATGGTTCATTCATCAAATCACTAGGAAACGACAACGGCGTCGCATGGAGCCAGTTGGGTATACTGTCTGATTCCAAAGCTCAGCCTAACCACATCTGCATTGTGCGTACTTTTCGACTCACCGTTGTAAAGAGTGATGTTCTACTCCAGCTGAGATGTGGATCAACACAGCGTTAGAAGTACGTCACTGTATGTGTCTACTGTGACAAAGCGACCACTCAAGAAAAATCTCACATGAAAACGGGTGAGATAATAGACCATGACGTTCGAAGATGATTGTGATATATAATCGAGAGGACAAAGTGTGGCAATGCGATAACTAAGAGGTGTAACCTCATGCGCGACTAAAACGTCTGAAGTGAGCCTGTGGTGGAAGTGCTCGACTGTTCTACAGAGGTTGGAATGCTTGGGCTGATCTGATTCATGTAGCGGAAGAGCAGACAGCAGGTGCCAAGCAGATAGTTACCTTAATATCCCATTTACATAGACCAGTGCCGTCGTTCGACCTGCTCTGGGGTGTCCCATAATTCAAAGCATGTGATGCAGTTTGTCGAGTACGACTGCAATTACCATAGCAGATCGTATACATGATATCATAACAGACGAAATTCACACTCCATGGAGAACACGCAGCATTGAAATTGAAAACCCATTTACTTTCAGTAATATGCTCCACCGCCTTGTATAATGAGAACGTCATAGAAAAAAAGGAGTGCCAGACCGCAGATGCTTGTGCCAAAAGTGGTGTGCCGTTGAGACTAGTTGTACCACATGTGTCCAAACTCTGCTGGTATAACACAGTTCCCTTACACTTTACAGGTAATAGGCATGCGCCTCAGTTGGTGCTGCAAAATATGACTTCCATTCATACGAGACCAGCTGCCACGCAGTTGCACATATAGCGGGACAGTGTCAATAAAGCAGGTGTATCGGGCTACAGTCTTCTGAATGTGACTATGAGTTCAACCTGTACGCCATATTCGTGGAAATGCGCCATTTCGAGCAAAACGGTGTGCGCAATCTATTTGCATGCTGGATAAGCGAAGACTGATTGTTAAGGTTGGGTCAAAAGTGAAGTTCATCAACTTGCACACCTAGAACCACGAAATAAGCGTTTGCGTGTTTGAGATCGGACGCCTGAACAACTCGCTGAGCTCCACATGACCATCCATTCCGACTATGTGCCTTTGCCTTGTTTTGTTATGATACGATGTCAAAAAGTCCATAAGATAACTGCTGATCGAGTGAGGAAGCTGTTCCCAGAGCCCAACCCAGATTTCCGCACCATATCCAGGACTGCACCATACACTAGGTGTGTGTGGCGTGGTAATGTATACACGTAGGTTAAGACCAAGTGTAATTCCCATGGGTATATATAACAATGCTGAGGCTGATGTTGCATTCATGATGCTTCTTCGCCGCAGTTGGGCTAAACCAACTTACACTCAAACCAGGTCTTTTTAAGCTGGATAAATTTCATTTCAATGCATTTGGTTTGTTCTGCCTGCCTAAATAATCTACTATCAACGAGCCACGTAGCGTACGCTTATTGCGCTTAACTTCGGTAACTTTGTTGCATTTGTAGCATTTCTACATATCGCGGATTCGTTGCTAACCAACTTACTTCATATGCTAATTTAGCGAAACCACTGGGGCCCAGCATCGAAACGACGACGATTCTTGCTGGGAATGTAGATAAAACCAGAGCAGCGTTGGTAGGTAAACTGCATTCGATGTAGTAACCACGTGTTTGTGTGCTGAGTTTCTTCATTTCAGGTGGTGAGTTTGTTACCTCATTTTAATGGGTACCTTCAATGGGTACCTCAATAATCTATTAAAATGCATATTTCGCTTAAACTAAAGGTGGTTAACTTCGCCTGTTTTCTCCTTGGTACACATGTGCCTTGATCCCTTTTTCTGCAATCATGAATCTATGACGGTAATTTCGGTAATCCATTTATTTCATATGTTCATTTAGAGGCATTTCTGTACAGTGTATTCGATCTTTTTTATTCGACATTGTATTTCATGTGGTCGGCTGTTGCATGACATCCCCGGTGTGGCTGCGGTTGACGTGCATATCGACAAGGTGCCTACATATCTATTACCCACTACCTCGTCCATCTGGCTAGAGGAGACAGTTGGTCGTTGCTGGAGGGGACGGGGTGCACGGTCCTTGTGGCCGTGCTAGGCTCGAAGAGTGGTTCCATGCAGTCAATGTGGAGCGGACTACGGTCCAGCCATCGCCTTGTGTGCAATTGATTCCCAACTATAGCGTGTATGTGTTTGCCTATCCAGGAGTGTGAGCCGGCTCCGTTGAGAAAACGTGGCTCCCATCCGCATGCCTCCCAGTCTTATTCCTTCGGGTTTACACTGGATATGGGGTGTGTGGATGGAGCTGTGGGTGATGCAGCGCAAGACATCTATGGTCCCTCTGTAGGCGCAGGCGCCCTGTGGAGACCACAGTGACCGGCAAATCCGAAACCGGATGTTGCCAACCTCGAATACATATGTTGTAACCGTAAACCAGTAAGGCTATGAAGGCAACGCTGATAAAAGACAGACAGCCCCTGAACGTACTCTGCACGAACAGGCGTAGTCTAGCAACCGTAGAGCTGGACCGCTCTCACCGTGGCATTGTAGACTCCACCCTTCAAGGATAGACTTAGGTCGCAGCGACGCCAGAAATGACGGAGATTAGCAAACGCAAACCGGGCCTTAGAGACGCGAAAGGAGACCTCATCCGTTACACCGTTAGCGCTGATGCAGCTTCTGAGGTAAACAAACATGTCTACTACTTCCAGAGATGTCAGGTTCATGAAAACATTCCAGCATTGGTAGAAACCGGAGTCGTTGAGATGGGCAACTCGCTAGAGCTCCTCACCGTCAAGTAACAAAAAAGTTCAGGTCATCTTTGAAAAAGTGAAGCAAAAGTTTAGAGGGCTAATAGATAAAGTATGGTAAGCCGACCCATGCAGCAAAAGAGAAACGAACCAACGAAGGACTAGACTTGCGGCTAAACACACATATTCTGATCACACAGGATGGTGAAGTTCGGCCTTGGTTTAAGGGTAAAGACTTGTGCACCAAGTTAACCAATGAAAGCAAAGGATAAATGATTGAATGGCTGAAGGTATATGGGAAACATGCTGAAAAGACAAGATTTGGTAGATGTATGCAGTTCGTATCGTATGATTAGTGGGACTAACGACAACTCGCAACTGTAGGCAGTTTATGTTAGGCATAACCAAAAACGCAAGCACAGAGTGAAAGGCATCCGAGTCAATGGTCTCTTTTAGACACAAAATACCAGTTTAATCCGATGTATCGCGTCAGCTTCGACGAAAAGAGGGAGGCGAGGACTGGCAGAACATAGCAGGATTTCCAACACCGAGATGACCTCAATGCGGTGACCTGAGGTTAGTAGCCTTAACTGTAACATCAGGCTAGATTGGCAAATTCATGTGACTTAAAGATGCTACATAATTACTAGATAGAATAGTAATAACCACAAGCGGTGATGGTCATTTCACAAACAAGCACTCACTATAGGATTTCGTGATAGACCAGAAAAAATAACTCACAAGGCACAACTCTCTGATAGACATTTTCACGGATCTTCTCTTGCAGCGTGTACTCAGCTGAGTTTTGAGGAAAAGCAAACGCCAAGAAGCTGGACAATGTGCTATTCCCAGTGGCAAGAGCAGAAGGGGAGCAAGCTCGAATGCGTACCAGAGGTCCGGTCCCACCAGGATCACAGTTCACTCGCGTCACATTGTCAAGCAGCTGCACGGCATCGCGACAAGTGAATCCCGAGATCTCGTATTCATTAATTGAGAGAATAATGTCACCAGCCTTTAATCTCGAGGAGCTAGGGGGTGATAGCCGCACGTCGTGGTACACCATACGAGAAGAATCAAACTCGTCTCCGACCACACAAAACATGCCCGAATCGGAGCCACCACAGATGGGAAGGAATAGACTTGAATCAGGACTCGAGGAGGAGAGGAAGACGTCGAAACAATGTTGTAAGAAGGACCCATGGTCCGATGGTGGAGCAGGCATAACAGCTTTTTGCAAGGGTGATATATAATTTGCACAGGAAACGGGTAGATTATTATCTAGTTGCCCTCCATTTCGGTAATCGGTTCCATTCAACATGTCAACTGGCTGGAGAAAGAAGCAACAACAGTAAGAAGTGGTACGATTGAATGCTCAGGTTAAAAAGTTCATTAATGTAGAGGAAAAGCTATTGAATTGTACTGCAAGGGAAGCGTAAGAGGGTGAGATGGCTCGGGAGTGAAAATTTAAAACTATATGAAAATCATCAACATTATTATACATGAGCTGAAGGTGAGAAACACACTTCAACTATTGTGCCGCAAGATAAGACAAACGAAAAAAGCAAGGTGTTGAAAATTATAGAGTGCTAGAAAAGAGGCGACAGACTACTTAGTAACACATTATGCATCAAGCGGAGATCACGGATTAATGGGGAAAATAAGGGGGATGGAGAGAAACGAAAAAACTCCAAACATAAACGTTAATGAGGTCGGCTCCTCGCCATGTCAATTAGCGTAACCAACCAAATGAAGGCATATGGACTGAACATAGCGGATGGTAGAACTGATGGTAATAATGAAATCGGAAATATGAATACAGAAAAACTGCCGATCTAAGTGAACATTTCGATCAGCAACTGACCAATCTAAGCTACCAGCACTTGCTACAGTTGCAAATAGGGCGGTGTGGTACCGGGGTTCAGAAGAAAAAGCAGCCAGCTTGGTCGTTCAAACTTCAAGAGAGCAATATGACAAGTGGAAAGTTATATCTACGTATCCATCCAACAGTATAATAATGTGTGGGTAGTACGCCGTAACGGAGTTTCGCTGCCACGCGACCATCACCAGTCGCGCGTGGGATGAGTATACCGCGAGGACGCCCGCCCCTACGCGGATTCGAACCAGTGACTTTATGGTTGCAACCCAGACGCGCTGATCACTCGGTTACCGGCCGTTATATCCCACAAACAGTTGTTTCACACCCTTTGCATTTAAACCAACCAACCAAGTGAATCCTAAGCTAGTACGATCACATGCAATAAAAAAGGTGTCAGCAATGTGCCGTTAAGCAGTACCGATGCTTCGCTGCCGCGCGCTGTCGCGCGTGGGTGATGGATACTGCGAGGGTCGCCCGGTTCTCTACGCAGGCTCGAACCTGCGCCCTCGGATTACAAGACAGGCTTGTGGTCCTTTAGACTACGAGCCTGACTCGCGATAAGCACCCGGCCGGTAAGCCTAACATGGGAAAAAGAGACGATGATTAGGTCATCGAATCGCCGATGGCTTGATGCTAAAATCAATTGGAAAATTTGGGTACTACACCACTAGCAAAAACAATCAGAAGTGAGCGTAGCGTCTTAAAAGATAACTCTTATTCGCTACGTATGCTGGGAAGGAAAGCACTAGGCAAGCAGCCGAAGCGCTGATGCGCGGCTAAAGCATGGCCGGTAAGCCGTCACTCTCCCACATGGATTGAACGAACATGTAGCCAACTAGGTGAAGTATAATAATAATAATAATAATAATAATAATAATAATAATAATAATAATAATAAGCAGGTGTCAGCCGTACGCCGTAACGGCGCTTCGTTGCCGTGTGACCGTCACCAGTTGCACGCGGGCTGAGTATACGGCGAGGATGCCCAGTCCTACGCGGATTCGAACCCGCGCAGCAAGAGTACGAAACAAGCTCCCTAGCTCTAGCCTACGAGTTGACTGGAAGAAGTGGCTAATTAGCACGAGAGCGGCAATGTTTGACTGCTTGTAAGTTGATCCTTCTAGATGCTTCCACGTGAGCTTTATAAACAGTTCACAAATGTTCCACTTGACCTTTATACCGAACAGTTTGATCAGCCAATCCTCGCTGCTGGTCCGAAACCGGTCTTTTCCCTGTGGGGTCCAACGACTTCGAGCTCCGATGATTAGCCAACCGTCAAATCAGATGAGTGGTGACCACCATTTCAGCTGGTCTGTTGCACAATATTCGCTTGTTTTACTGCTCCCTACTCTCTGTCCATAGCTCGTCGTACCCGTCTGCTCAGTGAGCTGCCGTGTTGACGTTCCCTCTTGTCTCGCCTCATCCGTCCGTATCTTCTTGTAGATCCTTGAATATAGCCCGCTGTTTTCGACTTCGTGTACCTTCTGATATCCACGCTCCATTACATGCTTCGTGTTGGACTAGTAATTAGTAGTCTATAAGGTGATTGATGAGAATCAGCTTATACGCAAGAGCAAGAACAGAAATCGATGGGATCATGGAGATCAACAGTTGACTAAATTGAGAATCTGGAGCATTACTACACTCGTAGAAACCGAGGATATCGTTAGACACAAACGCAAAATTTCAAACGAATGGACGTCAGTCCTCGGTTAAGGAACTTGGTGCAGATCAACATGTGTAGAAAAGAATACTCACGTTTGGCGGTGTGACCTGCGACAGAGACGGAAATAAAAGACTGGAAGATAGTGAGATCTAGCTAGGACTATCACGCAGAGTGTAGTAAATCTAAGAGTTATGCAACCTAGGTTGGATCGCAAGTCAAGTCAGCTGTGACGGATCTGGCTTTCAAAAGCATCAGTGGACTGTTCTAGGACAATATGAGAAAATGTGATAATCTTACAAGGCAAATGTGGGAAGCAATAGTAGCTCACCGGTATTTAGCAGTGGCGCTGCATTATCGATCAACCGAAAGCGGCTGTAAGTGGACTGGGAGAGTTCAGGAACAGTAACTCGAATCCGCGGCATGTAAATTGCAAGTCAAGCATTAGGCATTCATATAAAAAGACGAATAAACGGCAATATTGATTAAATGCTAAGAATGCTGGTTCGAACCACCAATCTGAAGACACTTCTCAGTGCAACATATAGTGCTGAATTGGGAAACGGAGTAAAGGGTTAATCAGTCGTCACAAGTTTCTAGTAGTGATGGAACGAAGACATCTGGGTCGGTCGGCTTTGTCTGTCTCAGCGACAGCTGAAGTCGAATCTCTTTGACGGCAAGAGGACAGATGTCCATACTTAACGAACGGTAATGGCACAGTAAGCGGGCTGAATTGCTCACAGGAACTTTTCCACTTAGACATGAAAACGGCATATATGAGTAGATAGAGATCGCCATCAACTCTCAGTTAAAGCTTTACTAAATGGAGAGTATTTTGGGCTGGCGCATTGAAAAGATTGGGACATAATTCGTCCGGTCCTACAGAAACAGCTGGATACAGTTCATGGGCTTCTCAACGTGATGCAGCTGAAGAGTATTAATCATTGTGCCATCAAACAAAATGAAGCTTAATCATCATCATCAGTCGCCAACACAATACGAGTAGAAACACACAAGGGAGTAAATACATGGAAAAATAAGCACCGCCAAACAAAATGTCACAGTCAAGACCATGGCAACCGAATTGATTGTCTCAAGAGTTTCTGTGCACATAGCACAGGTTGATAGGCCTTAATTAACGACGCCTCACTAATTGCCAACAGTATCGGGTTTTGTTACGTAATAACACTTTGAACGCTGTCTCGGGGTTCACGTGATGACGGGTTGTCATGAGGTGCTTGGTGATGGACGATGCCGGGCTCCGATTGATTCTCAGGTTCGTCCCATGTTGTTGCGTAAGCACCTGTCCCAACCACTTTGGCAAACGTTCAACTACCCGCTGAGCTAACTGACAGTTTGTTCTGCCTATGTAAATGTCAACGCAACCGCAGGTGAACTGATAAACAACGTGAGAGGCCGAACTACCCGACGAGATGCTCTGACGGTTATGAAGAACAAGTGCTCGCGTGGTATGCCTGAGTCGCAACTGCGCTGTCATGTAGGTTCGCGTTAGGGCGGACCGGAGCTTGTGTCCGATATCATTCGCCACATGGTCCCTCTTGAACGGCAAGAACAAATAAACACCCTTTTTCTCAGCCGTCAACACCGGTATTTTCACGCTGGGACGTCTGCTGTGTAGCTGAATAAACTTCCCAGGATTTTCATTAGAAATTAAGATCTTGCGTAGAAATTCTTCTTCGGCTTGTAACGTATCGGGGCTGCAAATACGTCTAGCCCGGTAGAAAAGAGTTCTCACTAAGCCGCGTTTGTATGCGATCGGAGAGAAGCTCGAAAAATGAAGGTACTGTCCAGTTCAAGTCGATTTGCGGTGAACAATGCGCTGCAACGTATCTTCAGCCCGTCTCCTAATGAGTATATCCAAAAACGCCAGGCAATTGTGTTGTTCCACTTCATGGGATACCGACAGATTAGGGTGAATCGAATTTAGGATGGTCAGCAGCCGATTCAAGTGTTCGCCACTGGTGAAGATTAAAATGTCATCTACATATCATCTGTACAATTTTGCTTCACCAATAATGGCAGCAACTTGTCTTTCTATCAGATCGAGAAAGATGTCGGCTAAAACTGGTCCCATAGGGCTGCCCATAGCGACCCCGTCGACCTGTTTGTATGCGGTCCCCTCAAATTCAAACCATATGTTCTCGGTGCACAACAGAATCATATCCTTTAAATACTCCACCGCCAGGTTAACAGACATATTCTGACTCAGGATAAAATCACATAAATTATCAACCGTCTCACATAAAGGCACATTTGTGTATAAGGAGTCCACAACTATTGAGTACATAAGCTCTGCACTCAGTGACAATTGTTCCAGTGTCTCAACCAGTTCAAAGGAGTCTTTCAGGCAATACGTAGCGAGGAGTTTGCGCACCGGATCTAATAGTTTGGCCAGCCACTGCGCGACATTGTGATAAGATGAATTGTTCATGCACATAATCGGACGTAGCGGGAATCCTGCTTTGTATAACTTGGGAGCGCCTCTCATTCTAGGTATCTGTGTCCCGGTCGGTTTTAAGTGCTTGTACTGCGACTCATTGATGTAACCATGTAGCAGGAGGATCTGGAGTTTCCTTGCCAAATGCTTCTCCACCACGATGTTGTTTTCTGGTGTATTATCTAGCTGGAGCTTTCGAGTGTCTCCCAGAATGGACTCCATCTTCGAAATGTAGTCAAGCTTGTTCATTACTACAAAGCCTGATCCTTTATCCGGCTGCAGGAACATTACGTGCTCCATTTGTTTCAACTCCTTGATCGCCGTATAGTGTTCAGATTGCAGACAGCACCTCTGACTTATCGGCGTACACAGGAACTGGTTCGCAATATCTACCAATCTCGCCCGAAACCAACCCGCATCTTCCGTCGATCTTGGCGTGAGGTCACTGAGCTGTTCATTCAGATACTCGAAATGCGCCTGCGTGGTGACCTTGTCCAGCGCTTTTGGCGGCAGTCGGTATTTCATTCCAAGCGAGAGAACTTCCAATTGAGTGCGCGTGAACTGAGCAGAGGACAAATTATATACGTGCTTCAAGCAATCAGTAGGAAAGGAAGCATTGGTGGCTTTAGCAAGAGAACCATGCAGACTGCGCACTGTTTTTGCTCTCGTGCGACGGAGAACTTCAGCGGAAAAGGCCTCAAATTTTAATCGACAAACCAACGGCAACTCATTGAGTGTGCATGCGAACCGTCTCTGCGTCTCGAGAAATTTCCGTTCTCGTTCAAGGCAGGCGTCGATATGCGTCGACGCGATCTTGGCCAGATTGGTGTTGTTTATCGGCAACCTGTTACTAAACAAGGTCTTGGCGAATTGCAGCGGGAAGGAACCTGAGCGGATACATTCCACAAAAAACTTCACACGAGCGCGTTCAACAGTTAACTTGCAGCGCAGAGACAACAATCGGTCTAATGCTCTCGCAACGGTAGAGGGGAGTCTTCGTTTCAGAAAAGTAAAACAGTGGGTCCCCTTCAGCCATTCTTCAAATCGTCCCCAAACCTGACATTTATCGAAGACCCCGGTAGTGAACGTGAAACATTTACACTTTCGTAATTTAGCAACAATGGAGTTTATGCTTGTTTGTATCTTCCGACCGTCCATTTGTTTTACAGAGGTTACTTGGCGTTCACTTTCGGTTTCCCCGTGAGTCGTGCGGTTTAGCGCCTCGTGCTTCGCTAATTGACTTCCAGTTCTTTGTAGCTCATACAATACACGTTGGGTTCGGTAACGTTACACTTCTGTGTACTCGGTATCCGTGGTTGGGCTTACTGGTAATTGTCGCTAACAGAATTATAGTCCGGCTCTAAAAATGGAAGGATTAGGAGCTAACACGAGTATTTTCCCTTCTGGTCTCTACAAGACTATGAAAACTATGATCTATGTCCGAGGGAGACGTTTGTCTCTCTTAGTGAAAACTGAGGTCGGATCCAAATATGTGCGAATGACAGTGAGCCACTTAATTTCGCAAACTTAAAAGAAACGTGACTCTAAATTCAAATGAGACAGGAACAAAAGGAAATTCCCATGGTCGTTCCATCCTGTATGCGTCGTTGATCCACGTTAGAATGCGGTGGCAAGATCGGCCAGTTGTGGGAGCCAAATCAGCACGTACAAATCAAATAATGGTCAACCAATCAAAACCCATGTACCCTGCGCTGGCAGTCCCCGCTACGCCAGCGGCGTAAAATTAAAAAGGAAAAGAAAATTGTAGACTAGATATAAAGCGGAAGGGTACGAAAGAGGACAAGGAAGAGGAAGTTAGTAAGAGTGAATAAAAAGGAAGATAGCTGGAGAGCAAACAGAAACTAAATTAAGAAGAGGGGAACATATAACACTGCAAGTTGAGGGCGGCAAGGCGACGTTTAAACTCTATCACCGTGGATGACAACACTACATCCTCAGGTAGCGCGTTCCGAGAATCTATCAATCGGCGTGACAAACGAGTGTCAACCCGAACCCGATCAGATCTGAGTTTTTGAAATTTCATCAGATGCCCGCGGAGAGTAGGTAACTGTGTAGGATGAAAAAACCAAGAGAGGTCTGGACCTATCCGCCCTGTCAGTATACGATAAGTGAGAATCAGGTCGTCACGAAGACGAGGATAATGTAACGAAAACATCCTTAGCTTGAGCAACCTGTCAGGATAGGACAGGTGCCGCAACTCGTGGACCATTTTGGTTCCGATTCTCAAGACCCACTCTACCGCCATCCTGTCACGAGTCAGGCAAGGAGGACAAGCCTGGAGGCAACACTACAGATGCAGTCTAACAAAGGCCGTAAAGAATTTAACAAACATTTTTTCCGTTAGCAGCCCAAATGATCTACGGATCATCCAGAGGGTTCGAAAACCCCTGCAAGATGCTTTCTTCCAGTTCTTACTGAATTTAAAGTCCTAAGACAAAGTGATCCCTAAGTCAATTTGTTGGAATACGTGAGGGATTTCATTATCGCTAGGCATATAGTGCATCGTCGAACCATCTGATTCCATACGCAAAACTGAACACTTGATGTGGTTTATTGGCATCTGCCACAGAACGGACCAATCAAGGAGTCTGTCAAGGGTCTGTAGCAGAATTGGGGAGCCATGGGGGTCGTTCACCGTGCACCAGAACTGAAAGTCGTCGACGAACATGAAGGTAGGCAGTTCCAGCACTCCTGGTGGTTCATTTACGTACATAGCAAAAAGCAGTGGACTAAGAACTCATCCCTGTGGGAAACTGCCCAGAACTGCCTGCCGGAAAGAAAAAAAAGAATACATCTCTTGTCCTTTGAGAAATGCGGATGGCCATCGAAGCGCGTGCCCGTTAACTCCGGAGCTTAAGGGAAAGACGAGTATGCGGGACAGAGTCAAGCGCTTTGGAGAAGTCACTGATTGACCCTGATCGACAGACTCCGCCCAACTTTCCCGAG